CGCGGGGGACCGGGCCGTGGAGGGCTGTCCGGATGGCGGCGGCGGCGGTGGCGGCGAGGAGTCGTGCTGGCTGGTGGAGGTGGTGGACGTCCGGGAGGTCGTGGAGCTGTTGGGGAGCTGGAGCACGAAAACAGGCGTCTGATTTCGAGGCCCGCCCGGGGACCCTGTCCCTGTCTCTGCCCAGCTCCCGTCAAGGAGCTGTCCCCGGCCATCTGTTCCATTCCTAGACCTTAGATGGATCCTGGTTCATCTCGGCCTCTTTGATAGGGTGTTTAGGGACTCGGGCAGTTCTAGGCTCCAGGTAGTCAATATTTCTGTTAAGTAGACACAGAGCCTGTTTGCTTTCATCAGCACCTCACACATTTGGTTTGAGTAGATGGGACACAGGTCCTTTTTCCACTCTCGGGACAGCCAGAACATCGTTTGCAAAGGGTTGTCTCTTGCCTGCCATATACCTGCTCAGTCAGAGGCCTGCAGGTAGGACAGAGGGCTTGAGAAATGGACCATGCTTGGTCAGTGCCTCAATGTGAGACCTCCAGTTAACTCGATGAGCAACTTGGGCCAGACGTTCACACCAGAACATTCTACATAGCACTTGGGGACATTTCTCTTCCCATCTGCCTTGTGAATAATGCAGTGATTGCTGGGAAGGTCCATAGGCTGGAGAATCAGTGTCTCCTGGTTGCCTCCAGAGCTTCGCTTGCCAGTGGGACATCAGTTACTGAGAACCATCTTCCTATGTAGAAAGGGGCCATTCTAAAGAAAAGACCCTTTACTAAGGTGTGCAAGAAGTTAGTATTTCAGTTTTTATGATTGTTTCACTTGTGACTCAAAAGAGATATTCTTGGTTAGATTATTGAATCAAACCTGACAGAAATAGATGGATTGGGTAGGAATGCTGTTTTCCCAAGTATTTGGGTCTGTATCTGTATCATTCTCTCTGCATCCAAAAACTTAATCTCGAAACTAATTATTATTTATTTATTTATTTATTTGCTTCTGTGGCCAGGCCTAGTTAAGGGCCCAAAGCATCACACACACTAACGCTTTTAAATTTTTCTCTTTTGCTGACCATTTCATCCCCTCTTGTAAGAGTCATGGGTACTCAATATGTATTTGTTGAAGCAAGGAAGGAAGGGAGTGCAGGTGCTAGACCTGGAGACCCTGGATTTTAACTCTAGTTCCACCACTTATTAATGTGAAATCTTAGGCAGGTTACTCTGTGCTTTAGTCTTCTCAATAGTAAAATGGGATTTATGGGAGTAGGGCGTTCTTGTGAGGGCTAAATGAGCCAAAACACGTGAAGTAGATAGAACAGGGCCTGACACACAGAAAGCATCAATAACTGTTAACCATTATTATTAGTTATTCTATCATCTACTGCTCCCTTTCATCTCTATCTCTACCTTAATGCTGGTGTTCCTGCTTCTGGGCTCGTCTACCGATGGAGCCCTGGTGGATGGACTCCGGGATGTTCTGGACCATTGATTTTGCAAGAGATACCCTCGAGAGTCTGTCTTTGGCACTGCTAATTCTTGAGATCCCTGTGAAGGAGAGAAAAAACCAGGGGTGTGATACCCCACCACCTGCTCCTTCCATGCATGTGCCCACAGAATAGCCAGGTCAGGCTAAAAATAGCGGCACCCATTGAGAAGTTATCTGGCCTCTCTGACTCTTAATTCAAACTGAGCCCTTGTGTCCTATTCTAGCTCTGGCCAATACTAACTTCTACTTGGAGCAACGAGGTGGGGATCCACCTGGAAAAACATCCAAAAACCAAGAAACAAGTGGGGCAGCTCACATTTCTTCATCTGTGACTCCTCTTATATGGAACTTAGGAAAATTGACTGTCTTTCCTCCCTTTTTCCCACTTCTTCTCTTAAAGATAAGCCTTTTAACAGATGCTAAAAAGATACATCACCATTCCTACCAGTCTATAACGGTGAGGGCAGATGGTTCCTAAGGTTGCAGCGGCGATCTATGGCAGCTGCATCAAATAAAATAGAGCCCGTAAGCATTTCTTTAAGGAGGGACAAGAAGGGAGGAGACCATGGAAAGGCAAGTGAAGGAGCTTCTATTCCCCATATCCTTCCCCTCACCCGGACTGCCTGTGGGTCCCCTCCAAAATCAGTAGTGTGATCTCTGCTCACCCTGATCATGGTGATCTGCCGGCCCTGCTCCCACAACAGGCACATGTGAATATAAATATATACTGTGCGGCAGGGGCCAAGGACTGTTCCCTCAGCTGCACAAAGGCAGCGTCTACACGACGAGTGACCCCGCAGGGGGCAACATCTCAGCGAGTGATTCGGATTGCCTGCACGCCTCATCTGAAAGATTGTGCAGAAAACGGTCAATGCGGTGGCCAAACTCCCCTCCCTCCCTGGTTTGAACAAAGTCCGGTCTCCTCCCACAGGCTGAGCAGAGGAGACCGCTGCTATGTGAACATGCACATCGGGGATGTAGACTGGAAGGGAAGGCAGGGGCCAGCTGCTCCTAGTTTTTCCTCAACCTCCTCATGAGAACATTAGGCATCCTTTCTACAAATCTCTACAGCTCAGTCTTCTCTCCCAGAACTCCCCTGCCCTCTGATATTTTCCATTTTGCATTCTGCTCTTTAATTTTCTCACCACCTACAGAGGTCAACTCACCTGAGTGCTCAGACGAACTCCTGATTTCTCAGATTCCCTTCTTTTTTCTGTGTCTACACTCTCTTTTGAGTACCTCATCTCGGTCTCATTCTTAATATGGAAACAAATAATGTTTATTAATTTGTAATGTCAGGGGCATTAGAAACCTTCGGTTTGGGAATAAAAAGATAAATAAAACAGAACCTTTCTCTTTGCCAATATTAAAAAAAAATACATAAAATGTGGACATTTTTCTCCGGTTCTAACAAGCATAAGTAAAAATAACACATATTTTGTAAATAAGAAGTATATAAATAAAGTTAGTATAGATGTGTTGGGTTTATAGATTTAAGATACGAAGAATTCATCATTTTAAAAAATGGTAACATGGGAAATGCTGTGAGAGAATTGTCCAGGGATCAGCAGGACTTGGATTTAAATGCAAAGTTGCTTACACAGATTAACTTTTTTTTTTTTTTTTTTTTTTGCTACATTATTTTGATTATTGTTACTATGCAACTTTTTAATTTTGCCATGTGGAATTGAAACTTTCTTGTTTGGTTTTTTAATAACTATGGTTCCAATTTTCTGTGGATCTTACCCTCACTGATATTAGTCCTCTTTTTAAAAACAAGGACCTTAGTCCCACACAGATTCATTGACAGACATGTCTTCTGTTTTTATCTATTTATGCATAGCATCTAGAACGAAAAGGGGTTCCTTAATAACAAACTAATAGGGAAAACTGAGTAGAAGAGCACAACATTATTTCCATAATTCACTTTATGGAAACCTATTCAAGTATTTATATTTTCATTTTCAGCTGTGAAAGACATATCGGAGCACTGTTTGCACTGTTTCACACTAATTCAGTAACTAATGTGATCACGATTAGTGTTCTTTATCTTTTTAAGGAGCTCAACTTCTAGGAAAGACCAAGTTCCCCCAGAGCAGTCTATATTTATCTGTTTATGCTCTGAGCCTTGCATCCAGGAAAAAAAAAATCATAAATGTTAGTTGAATGAGAATATGACTGCAGAGAAAGGCATAGCTGTATGATTCTTTAACTAATACTAAAATTTTTCCATCAGCCCCCCGTCAGTCATCATAATATCCTGTCACTTCTTACTCCAAAACGTATTTTAAATCCAATTCTCCTTCTCCATCCCTGTTATCATTGCATTGTTCCAGGCCTCCAATCACCACGGGCCTACATTTTTATAATATAGCCTTTTGAAAAGGTTTCGTGACCTCAAAATCTCCCCACTTTTAGACCTGCCCACTCTATTTATTGAGAGGAATATTTGTAACATATAAATCTAATTGTGCTTTATTCCTGGATAAACTTTTCATTCACTGGGTTAGACAGACCAGGAGCCTCAGGACGGACTCTTTTCTACCTCCAACTAGCATGCTCTTCACTATATGCTTAATCTCTATGTTTGACTTCCACCAAATGACTTCTACTTGTCTACATACCCCCCTTATTTCCTTGTAACCTCCTCTTCCCTATAATCTTCTTCCACACCCAGCTCACTGTGACCTGGGGGAGTTTCTAGAATTAAACCTTCCTCTGTGCTGCCTGTGTCTTTTGTACACACTTTAACTGAGCACTAAGTTGTGCTTTGCTTATGTACTCTCTTCCCTACTAGGCTTTGCATTCTATGGAGACAAGCAACTGCGTTTTTACCTCTTCCCACTAATATGTACATGAGCATGTGCTCAATAAATATGGGCTTATTGGACTGACTTATACTACATGCTTCGATCTTTTTCTCTACTCTTTTTGTTTCCTTTACCTCTCCTTATTCCCTTTTCCTCTGCACGTAGTCATTATCTGAAATTACTTGGTCGTGGCGGAGCATTTGCAGAGGTAAATGAGGAACTGATATCTACATTTCTTCAACTCCCTGGCAAGATTGCAGGACATTCAATTCACTCACCTTCTTTTTCTGTTTCAGAGATGTTTGACTCATTTCTTTAACTATTGGTATTCTTTCGATGTTACGCAGGTTTTTGTCCCCCCAGCTCCATTTCCTGTTCTTTCCCTTGCTCAGCCTAGCTTTGCATTTAGAATGTCAAATTCATGACATCATATGTGATTCCATAGTAACAAATGGACTCTTTGAATACATGACTATGCTTTTTTTTTAATAAATAAAGCAATACTATTTCTTCATATTTGAGTACATCCTCTCATAACCATTGTCTGTGTTTTAGAAACTGATGTCTAAACATTGTTCAAATGCTTAGTATGTAACAGTATCACATTACCACTTCCTTGTTTTTAAGCATTACTCTTTCGCTCATCATATCAATCCCATTTGTTTCTGTACATTTTCTGGTACTGTCAAATAAATGGCAAACTCATTTATGAACCCAATCATTTATCACTGTTCATCCTGCCAGGCTTTGGGGTATTGTGTGCAGATCTGAATACTACTTTTGACAGCTGAGACTTTGTTCTAGACATGGAGTTCAGACTTGAGTTTAGCTTTAGTGTTTGGTATTTCTTTTTACAATGGCAAAGCCAATTGAGACACACTGTCAAAGCTCTTTCCCTGTAGCTGGACACAGTGTAGAATGTCACCTGTGCTCTTTCCTGCTGTTTGCTCAATCCTTAACCCTTTAAAGACACATTTGTTTCTCCTGTGTACACAGAGAGGAGTATATGCAAAAGAAAATGCTGACTCTGGTTTACAAAGTCTAACAATGTTCTGCATTTAACTGTTCTGATTTTTTAGGTAAGAGACATGTGCCATGCCAGCCTGAGCTGGTAAAACCATCAAGGACAGAGACAGATTTCTGGTCTCTCTTTATGGGAGTTGATAACTAAGTTTAAATATCAGTTTTTGATGGTTTTAATCAAAGTTCTCCAAGGGGCCTTTTAGTTAGTAAAACATGCAGGCTGGAGATTACACTGCCTGGGTTTGAATCCTTTTACATGTCCCTCACCTGTGCCCCCATGTCTTGCTGTGATCCTGGGCATGTTTAATTTTCCTAAATCTTAATTTCCTCATTTACAAAGTGGAGATAATAATGGTATAAACATCAAAGGTTGTTGTGATAGTCGAGATATTATAAAGTACTCAAGAAAGTGACTGGCATTCATAAGTGATTAAAAATGTTAGCTATTATTTTTATTCATAATTTTTGCTACAGCTGTTCTACAGTGCTCAAATAAAAATCTCTAAATAATTTAATCCCTACTGCAACCTAGTTGTAGGAATGAAGTTTAAAAATACTATTGTTCATATACATTTCAATTTGATAATCAATCAAATGTCCTTCACTCACTGTCTCCAGGTATATGGGCTGAGAATGTTCTTGTCACAAGACTTTTAAACTTGCTGCTCCATCTGCTGAAGGGCCCCTTATGTATGTCCCAAATGAGCATGGCTTAATTGCTTACTTCCTTTAACTCTCTGCTCTCAGGCCATCTCTTCAGAGATACTTTCTCTTACTGCCATCAAAAGTGGTACCCTTATTTCCTTCACTCTCTAACCCTTGTCCAGCATTATTTTTATCCATAGCATTTATTTCAATCTGACATTATTTCATAAGACTTTGTTTATTGTCTCCCTTGAATCCACAGGAATAAAAACTACTTGTGAGCAGTGGCCTGTATATTTTCCACTGCTATTTTCCTATTGCCTAGAGCAGTTACTAGGAGGTACCTCAATAAGTATTTGATGAATGAATATGTTACTGCATTAAGAATGCATTTGCTTAGCAGTGATAAGCAGGATACAGAGTACTATGCTAACAGTAGTGATAGAAATGAAAAAAAGTCATTTCCCCCTGCCTTTGAGAAGGTTCATGAGGTCAGTAAGGGGGAGGTTAAGCCAAAAAAGTCCTATATTTCCTCCCTGTTGCTTTGCACTCTTTGTCTAAAGATCAGTGGTTCTCAGACTTGGGAATGTATCAGAATTACTAGGAGAGCTTATTAAGATGCGATTGAAACCGGCAAATGGTTAAACAAACTGTGGCACATCCACACCATGGGATACTAGGCAGCAGTGCAAAGGAACAAGCTGTTGACGCACACAGTAACTTGGATGAATATCCAGAGAATAAATTATGCTGAGTAAAAAAAAAAAAAAAAGTCAATTCCCCAAAATAGTGCATTATGTGATTCCACTTGTATAACATTCTTGAGATGACAAAAATTATAAAAATGGAGACCAAGTCAGGGGTTGCTGAAGTTGAGAGGGTGAAGGCAAGTGGATGTAGTGATGAAAAGAAAGAGTGGCATGAGAGATCCTTGCAGTGATGGAAATAGTTTATTTTTAGATTTATTGTATTGATGTCAATATCCTGACTGTAATATTATATTATAGTTTTGCAAGATGTTACCTCTGGAAAAATTGAGCAAAAGGTAATAGAATCACTGCATTATTTCTTAAGTCTGCCTATAAATCAAAACTTTTTAAAATTTATTGAATAAAGTTTAATTAATTAAAACACATACACACATATACACAGATTGATGAGCCTCGCCTGCAGAATTCCTGATACAGTAGGTTGGGATGGGATCCAAAATGTGAGTGTCTAGCAAATTCCCAGATGAAACTGATACTGCTGGGCTGAGAACTACACTTTGATTATCACCAAGCTAGAGTAATTAGGAATTCTTCATATTCGCAATTAAGCTTTAGCTAAATGATTGATTCCATGTGAACAATTTCAAATAGTCTTCTCCCCATCTTCAATTTCGTATGTTGTAGTGAAGCCTATCATTAGTGAAATTGCCTCTAGAATGGGCCCATCAGACCCCAATGCTCGTGATGGAGCCTCACCTTTGTTCAATAGGGCCATGTCTGATTGGCTGGGCTATAAGCAGTTGTCCAGCAACAGCTGTGCCCTCTCCTGACAGCCTCAATGGGAAAGCAACTGTCCAAGCTGTAGGTTCACATCTTCGGATGCACATTAAAATTATTGGAGAGCTTTTAAAAATCCAGTGTCCAGGTTATAATCACAGACAGGTTTAATTACAACCTCCGGGTGTAGGATCCAGATATTAGTATCATTTGTGTTTGGCTGGAAGCTGCGGCCCTAAGTTCTAAGTAGAATATCTAAGGTAACTAACTTCCTCTCTCCCTCTCCCCACATTGCTTTGAGTCTAGTTCCCCAGAGTCCACACGGGGCCAGGCAGCACCTCCTCAAGAAGCTGGACTCCCAAACTGGAAACCCAGCCTTCTTTAACACCTCCCTATCCCTTATTTCAGGTTCTTACAAGCTGTGTCTCTTTTCTCTCAGCATTGTTTCTCAAACACTAGGCATTCTTCCATTCTACTAGTATTAGGTCAAGTCTTCATCATCTCCAGTGAGCTAACCAAGAGTCTCCTTACCGACCTCCTCATCTACACTATTGTGTTCCTCTCAAATTCATCCTTATATAGCCACTACGGGGATCTTTCTAAAACATTAATAGGGTCTTTCACTCTCTTATAAAAAAAACCTTTTGGGGGAACTATTTTTTTTATTTTTTTATTTTTGTGGTAGATATTTTTAATATATTTGAAAAACTGCAAGTATTATTCTTTATTGATTTAATTACAAATGGATTCTTCAAATTTTAATGAATTTTATCTATTCGTTAAATACTAGTAACTATTTTGTCAGGATAACTAGTATGTTCAGCATTACACAATGTAATCATTTTTTGTGGTCCTTTATCAATTTCTCAGTAATCCCCCTCCCCTTCACCTTTTCCCACCTCTGGTAGTCTCAGTTCTGTTCTCTCCTTTTGAGAGTTGAACAATTATTGTAACTGTTGTATCTTTCTTTCTTTCTTTTTAATTAATTAATTTGTTTACTTGTTTAGCTCCCACTTATGACTGAGGACATGTAGTATTGCTCTTTCTGTGCTGGGTTTATTTCACTTAACGTAATTTTCTCTAAGTTCATCCATGTTGCTGCAAATGGCAGAATTTCATTCTTTTTTATGGCAGAGTAGTATTCCATTGTGTATATATACCACATTTTCCTTATCCATTCATCTGTTGATGGATATTTAGGTTGGTTTCAACTCTTGGCTATTGCAAATAGAGCTGTAATAAACATGGGAGTGCAGGTATCCCTTCAACATGATGACTTCCATTTCTTTGTGTATATACTGAGCAGTGGGGTTGCTGAATCATATAATAGCTCTATCTGTAGTTGTTTGAGGAAACTCCATATTGTTTTCCATATGGCTGCACTAATTTATAGTCCCACCAATGGTGTAGGAGGGTTCCCCTTTCACAGCATCCTTGCCAGCATTTGTTATTCTCTGTCTTTTTGATAATGGCCAGGCTAACTGGGGTGAGATATCTCAGTGTGGTTTTGATTTTCATTTCCCTTATGCTTTAGTGGCATTTTTTCATGTGTCTGTTGGTCATTCTTCCTTTGAGAAATAGCTATTCAGCTCCTTTGCCCATTTTTAAATTGTTATATTTTTTTACTGTTAAGTTGTTTGAGTTCCTTGTATATTCTGTATATTAATCCCTTGTCAGATGCACTCTATTCAGAAATAGAAAAAACAATCTGAATATTCATATGGAACAACAAAAGACCCTGAATAGCCAAAGAAATCCTGAGCAAAATAGGCAAAGCTGGAGGCATAATACTACCTGACTTCAAATTATATTACAAAGCTATAGTAACCAAAACTGACATAAAAACAGACACTAAATCCAATGGAACAGAATGGAGAACCCAGAAATCAACCCACATACTTACAACCAACTGATCTTTGACAAAGACAACAAGAACATACATTGCGGAAAAGACTATCTCTTCAATAAATGCTGCTGGGAAAACTGCACATCCATAGGTAGAATGAAACTAGACCTGTACCTCTCACCATATACCAAAATCAACTCAAAATGGATTAAAGACTAAAATATAAGACCTGAAACTATAAAAGTCTAAAAGAAAGAATAGAAGAAATTCTTCAGGAAGTAGGACTGGGCAAAGACTTTATGAATAAGAA